TTACCTAAGTAAAAGAACCAACTGTGCAGACGCTTCCATGTCTCCGCCTGCTTGTAGAGAATTCCGAGGGGCGCATCCGCCGTGCTGAAGTGAAGAGCATATCCCCGATCCGCCCGAAGCATTTGTATCTCGCTCTCTTGGCGCAATACCATTCGCCCCATGAGCGCCACGAGATTCGTTTCGTCGACGTCCCCGTCCTCGTCCATCTGCATCGCTCCTCTTGCCTGGCCGTTCTTCTTCCTCCTCTTGGTGTCTCGGTTTTTTGCCTCCTCGGCCCTCGGCTTCGCGTCCGCCAGCTCCTGGAATGCCTTCGCGATCTGCACCTGCGTGTCCATATTCATGCTGTCTACCTTGACCCTCTCTTTCTTCGAGCAAGGTGGCTCCCAGCGCAATCTGGAATGTAGCTGGACATCGGATCGCATGCGACTTTGTTTTTGCTCTATCCTTCGGTATGAGTATCCCACAGCTGAAGCAGTGCGTTTCGGGTTGCAGACGTTTGTGAAAGACCTCATACGCCTTCTCAGCGGCCTTGTCAGCCCACTTGTATTCCGCCTTGTGAGAATATGAGTAGTGTGGTTTGATGCGCCTGCAGCCGCCATCCATTGTCCACACCATCCGCAGTGGGTTGTGAGTTGCTTTCCGAATTGTGCAGCCACCGAGTGCCAATCCCAGTGTTTGAGTCTAGCAACCACGTCTGCTTTGTGCAACACCGGAGCACTGTCATCATCCCTCTCACGTAAAGCCTCTTGAATGTTGATAGGATTTGAGCACCTGCCGTCGAGAATATGCTTCTGGAGTCCTTCCCAGGTGGCGAATGTTGTACCACATCCAGTGCATTCAGGGAGTCCGTTGCGGGCGTGTAGTGACCGATTGAATGCTCTGACGTCAGTATTGGAGTGGCTCGTCTGTGGGTGTGCTTTCGTCTGATGTGTCCTGAGCACCTTGTGCGTGATGAAGGTTCTGCCACACTCCTTGCACTCCCAGTTCCCCGTCACTCTCGGCGGAATCTGCTCATCCGTTTACATGGTGTTGTAGTAGGCCAATTGCTGGGTCCAGAAGTCCAGGCTGCTGTACGCATGTGGGTTCGCCGTGTGCTTATCAATCCTCGCTCGGAGCACTGCCAGAATAGTTGCAAGCGGGTTCGTGAGTCCATACATCTTTTCCAGTTGTGCGTTCGTCTGGTGCTGAATGAAGGTCTGCGAGTTTGTCACCGCCCTGATTTGTTTGTGAAATTTGGCTTGTAGGAGCTCCATCGAGGCCTTGTTCAGCTTAAGGGTGGGGATTCCATACATGAGTGTTGTGTATACACATGCTCTCCAGACTCGGATCCTGACTTTGACCGAAATCTCCTTCCGGTTGTAGATAATCTTCCGCAATCTCCCCACCGCGGCCTAAGCACACTGTATTCGCTTCCGCACACTGTGTCCGTCCGAGTCTGTCCATCCAAGAACGAGTCCGAGATATGTGATCTTGCTCCTGACGGGCAGCAGATAATCCTGTGACGCCCCTTTGAGTCTCCAGCAGGTTTTGCCATGTATCCTGGACAGTCTTCGCTTGAGGAATGTCCGCGCCTGTGGTCCAGCAAGCCTCACCATGAGCGACGTCTTGTCGAAGTTAATCATCATGCCGAAGTCCTGCAGGGTGGTGAGCAGCGTGTCCAGTGCCGTTTCGAAGTCAAGAACGTCCTGCAGTTTCTCCACAATGTGATGCAGGGTGAGATCGTCTGCGAACGCCGTGAAAGTGTCCAGCAGCTGGATCCGTGGATGTGCCTTCTGCGTTGTCTGCATCAGAAATATCGTGGTGATGCTCCAGAGCAGTGGGGCAACCCGACATCCCTGCCGGACTCCTTGAGTCGTTCTCGTCCATCCCCCGCTGCTCGTGACTGTGTACAGTGCATCCTCAGTCAAGGCACGAACTGTGCTCACTATGTCTTCGGTCGCTCCCAAAGCACGTAGCGCCTCAAGGACTCGGTTTCTGTTGAGTCGATCGAAAGCTTTCGACATATCAAGAGAAGCCAGGAGTCCTCCCGAACAGGCGGCGGGTTGTACCCCCTTAAATCTCTGATGAGGAGTCGGTCGCCCACCCCGCGCCTTGGCAGCCGCCTTCTCGAGGAACGCGTGCACCCTGGCCTGGGCGTCTTCAATCCCGTGTCCCGGTATGAACCCCATCTGAGGCCAGTCCTGGATCTTGCGTAGCACCTGCCACAGGATTTCATCTCGAACCACCGTCGCCAGCACTTTCGCCGGAATGGTTAGCAGGCCGATAGGTCTTAAGTCATTCATCCCTGTTGCAATGCCACCCTTCTTTGGGATCCAGACCAAGTAGGCGGCTTTGTAATGGTCGGGAATAGCGTCACCCCGTCCTGACAGCAGAGTGAACTCCTCCTGTATCTTCTCCGCGAGCACTTCATAATACTTCATAGTTGGCCTTCCATGCTGCCGCCGGTGCCGCCCCAGGGGGTGTGGCCTTCCGGAGCGGAAGGTTGGCTATGATATGTTTGACCCTCTCAAGGTCCGGGAAGATTGCCATTCTGCCTGCCGTGCCTGTCGTCGTGGGCTCCTCCTGGTGGCAGAAAAGGGCTCGCGAATAATTCGAGATGTGTCCATCCGCTTGCTGTGGCGTGAGCAGCACTCCTTGTTCCGATCGGAGATGTACCTTGGGCTTGGGATTCCAGGGCGCCAGCGTCCGTGCAAGCGCATAGACTCTGTACTGATCCGCCTTCGATGCAGCCTCCTCCAGCTCCGTCAGGATGCGTATTCTCCTGTTTCTTCGCTCGCGAAGTTTGTCTTCTCTGACTTTTTTTGAGGCTGTTGCAATCTCCACCGCTCTCCTCCAGGTTCGAAAGGCCTTCTCCGACAAATTTCCCCGCAGCCCCGGCGGGGCCTTAACATCCCGCAGTCTAATAACGTGCTGGTTGATGTGTCGATGTGGTTTAGCCGTTCGCGGAAAGTGCTTCTCGGTGATCTGTAGGAGTACCTTGTCAATATACCCAGTGTCTGCTTGGAGTGTCGTAATTGTCTGCTGCACCTCCTGATGGAATTTTTCATACGCCAGTGTGTGATTTTTGACTGCATGCTGGAGCTTCTCCTGATCAAATTGGCTGCGTTGAACTTCTGCACGTTGAAAGTGTACAGGCTTGAGCCTCACGCTAGCAAGAAGAGCGCAGTGTCCAGCCGCATTCTGAAACATGGGATGATTCACCTTCCCCGTTTGTAGCGCTATCTTGTCATGCGAGCCTCTCCTCACCAGGATGTAATCAATTTGCGTCTCACCCATGTGGTTGCGGTATGCGGCTTGCATGGGATGGTGGTATGTGTTGAGCGCAAGAAGGTCTGCTTCAATCACCCATTCCGTCGCAGCATCCGAGTCCGGCATGTTCTGGTGGGTGGTACTATGTCCCACTGCCGTTCCTGCGTGTCCTGGCCTCGACTTTATCTCCGAGTTGAGGTCCGTTCCAACAACCAGTGTTCTTCTTGCCGGTGTCTGCCGAACTGCTTAAGTGCCTCCGCAAGCGTCTTTCTTCTTCTATCCAGATTTATGTCCTTCCCCGCCCCGCTTGCCCAGGGATGCCTATAAATGCAGATAGCTGAGGCCGGCATTCCATGTACATCAAAGTGTGCCTGTACCACTCTGCCTGCCAAATGTTCGGCCACCCTTATAGAGGTCTTAGGCACATGAGGCGCAAGTAGAATAGCCACTCCGTCGCCTTTCTCTCCGGTGGAAGAAAACATTCAGGACCATCCTTGTGATGTGAACTCGTTTGTTGCGCTCCATAAAGCTGCATCCTCCTTCGGAGGAGTTCCGTCAAACATATTTAAAGGAGCAGAAAATAGA